ATATATCTGATAAGGGTCTGGTATACAGAATACATAAACAAGTCTTACAACTTAACAATGAGAAGACAAATAACTCAATTAAAAGTGGACAAAGAGATAGAAATAAAAGGGAAGTTCCTCAACATGATTAAGGGCACTTAAGGAAAACCAACAGCCAACATACTCAGTGGAGAAAGATTGAGAACTTTCCCCTTGAAAACAGCAAGAAGACAAGGATGCCCACTCTCACCACTCTATTCAATACTGTACTGGAATTCCTAGCCAGAGCAATAAGGCAAGAAAATGAAGTAAAAGGTATCTAAACTGGAAAGGAAGAGGTAAAACTATCTCTATTTGCAGATAACATAATCCTATGTATAGAAAATCCCAAAGAATCTACTAAAAAACTTCTAGAACTAATAGAAGAATTTAGCAAAACTGCAGGATACAAGGTAAACACACAAAAATCATTTGGGTTTCTATATACCAGCAATGAGAAATCTGAAAAGGAGATTAAGAAAGTAACTCCATTTACAATAGCATCTAAGTGAATGAAATATCTAGGAATAAATTTACCCAGAGATGTTAAAGACTTATACCGAAGATAACACCGAATGAGGGTGAAGTGTGCACAGCCTGACCAAAGTAAATGATATAACTAAGATGTACACAAGAAAAAAGGACATTTTGGTAACTGCTGCAGCATATATAATTTTGCAGCAACAGCAACAAAAACCAAAAAATATATGTGCAGGTATATATGCATATGTGTAGACACATATGTGTATAGGTATGTATACGTGTGTACATACGAGTGTATGCATATGTGTGTGTATATATATATATATGCATGTATGTGTGTGTATCCATATATATTCATATATATAATAAAGTACATAGGAGGCATAGTTACAGATACTTCTTAGATATAACCAAACATCTTGCAGGATTGGTTTTCTGGGTTTGAAGGCTTAGGACCAGAGTCTCATGAGACAACTCGGTCAACTGGCATAATATAGTTCATGAAGTTTATGATCCACATCCTAGTTTAGCGAGTAGTGTCCGGAGTCTTAAAAGCTTGTGAGCAGCCATCAAAGACACAACTATTGGTCTCTACTCATCTGGAGCAAAAGGGAAAGAAGGAAATCAAAGACACAAAGAAGAAACTAGTTTACAGGACTAACAGTCTGCATGAACCAAGGTCTCATCTACCCTGAGACCGGAAGAACTAGATGGCGCCTATGAATGAATTAGACGGTTCATGTAAACTACAAGTCCTGTAGGCTAGTTTCTTCTTTAGGTCTTTGGTTTCCTTCTTTCTCTTCTGCTCCAGACGAGTTGACTACTAAGAAGTAGTCTTCCTAGTCCAGCTTAGTCTGGAAGCTCCGCTGAAACCTGTTCAGCATCATAGCAACACACAAGCCTCCACTGGCAAACAGGTAGTGCTTTGCACATGAGGTGCATTGTTTGGGTATTGAAACTGGGTCTCCTGCATGGAAGGTGAGAATTCTGCCACTGAACCACAACTACCCTCCCTAAGCATATATTCAAGACAAATGAGCATATATGTTCACACAAAGACTTGTATACAAATAAATGTTCATAGAAGCATTATTCGTAACAGTAAAAAAGTGGAACAACCCAAATGTCCATCAATTGATGAACAGATAAACAAAATGTAGTATAACCATACAATGCAATGTTACGTGGCCATAAAAATAAATGAAGTACTGACCCGTGCTATAACATGAATGAACCTTGAAAACATTATGCTAAGTGGAAGAAAGCTAGTCACAAAATGCCACATATTGTATGATTTCCTTTATATGAAATGTCCAGAGGAAGCAAATACATAGAAACGGAAAGTAGATTAGTGTTTTCCAGAAGCTGGGCGGGGGAAGGGAGTTTGGGAGTAACTGCTAACAAGGGTTTCTTTTCAGGAGGATGGAAATGTTTTAGAATTGGATTTTGGTGATGGTTGCATAACTTTGTGAATATACTAAAACTCACTGAATTGTACACTTTTAAATGGTGAATTTTATGTTATGTGAAACTTATGTTCTGAGTTATATCTCAATTAAAAAACAAAATAAGCAGAGAAAAAATATATTTAAGAAGTATAATTTCAACTGTATAAAATGTACAGAAAGAACACACCAAAATCCTCATCTCTGATAGTGGGAAAATGGACAATTCTTTTGCTTCTCCATTATTGCCTGTAATTCCCAAATTTCCTATCTTGAGCTGGATTACCTTATTCTCAGAAATAAACAAACAAAACTTAATCTCCCTTTATGATGTTATTCAAATGGAGGAATATATTCCTTTAGCATTAGTAACCACCACCCATCTGTTCGTTTGTAGTACTGTGGTGGCTTGCATGTTACTATGATGCTGGAAACTATGCAACGGGTATTTCAAATACCAGTAAGGTCATTCATGGTGGACAGGTTTCAGTGAGCTTCCAGACTAAGACAGACTAGGAAGAAAGGCCTGGTGACTTCTAAAAATTAGCCAACGAAAATCCTATGGATCACAACAGAATACTGTCCAATATAGTGCTACGATCATGAAGATAGTACAGGACCAGGCAGCGTAACGTTCTGTTGTGCACGGGGTCGCCATGAGTTGGGCTAACTTGACGGCAACTAACAAGCATCGGTAAAGCGTGTATAAAATATTTTCAAACATTAAAGCGGGCTCATGGGGTAAGGAAAACCTGTTTCCTTGTTCAAGGCAGAAGTCCCCCTACTGTGGCAGAACTGCATATACCCTGCTTACCTCAAACTCTCCCTCTTACACAGTCTGCCTAACGCTAGTGTTAAGTTGCTGGAAGGCTAAGGTACAGGGTGACACCCTGTGGGGGCTTTTACACATAGTGAGCCTTCTGCAAATACCCTTCTGCTCAAACTGCATGGCTGAAAATCACACCTCTGGCTTCTACATTTATCATGTAATTTTTAAAACTAAGCCAGTATAAATGTATATTAAAATGATCCCTATAAGCCAAAGTAAAATTCTATTCAGAAAGGTTAACTTATGCAATGGCCCAGAGGAGGGGAAATCCAGCTGTGTGTAATGAGAAAATTTTTAATTTTTTAAAAAATGTAATAAAAATTTACCAAATTCAGGGAACCAATTGTAAAAACCTATCTCGATCTGCTCTGCTTTCAGCAGAGGGCTTGTTCACCTTGAATCTAATCATCGTGTCGCTAATAACACATGTGGGCATAGTTAAATCACATCCAGACATTTGCTTTTAATTTCAAGGCATTTTAATTTACAACCATTTTAAATCCCTCCTAAAGGGTCAGAAGTTTAAGCAGTTGGCAACAAGCATTGGCAGCTCACTTCCTCAAGTAACAGTTACAGCATTGGACATTATACTTGCTAGGGCTAGTATAGTTAAAAAAAACAAACTCTGTCCTTAAGGCTCTTTCAGTCTAAAGTTCTATCAGGTGTCAAAGTCTCATCTCTTAAAATGTAGCAAAGACAATGTATCAATCGAGTGATTAGGAGGAGCTGAGCTGTGGGGTGTCTTTCCAGGTGAGCTAGTCACACTCTCAAGCTCACCTTCATTGTTTCACCGTCAAGCAGACATCAAGGGCTTGGTTAGTTGCAGACAAGCTGATTCTGACTCATGGTGACCCCATGTGTTACAGACTAGAACTGCTCCATAGGGTTTTCTTGGCTGTAATTTTAACAGAAGCAGATCGCCACGCCTTTTCTTCCATGGCACCGCTGGGTGGGTTCGAACAGCCAACCTTCAGGTCAGCAGTCAAGCGCAAACTGTTTGTGCCACCTAGGGACCTTACCAAGGGCTTAGAAAATTCTAAATGTTTCAGTGAAGTGGTTGGGGGTCGGGGGGCTGGATGAGAGGTGAGCAAGGGAGAGTCTAGTCAGCTTGGCTCCTTGACTAACTTGTCATCTGCTTCATGATAACTTTCCAAGGAATTCACTGATTTTCTATGAAAGCTGGCATATACTAAAGGATATCAAGATATACCTTGATTCATTTTGTAGTTTATTCTGGTACCTTGAAACAAAATGGCCAAAAAAGGTTTTCAAAAACACAGATACTAGTAGCAAAGCAGTATGGGGAAGAGGCAAGGATCCAAGGAGCAACAAGTCTCCAGGTAGGGGGCCCAGCAACTAGAATGGGAGTCAGCCAGTTGGAACCCCTGGCCCAGCCAGGCTGCCCTCTTATCAGTGCTGTCTGCTGGGAGCACGGCCAGCAGCCATGACTAATCAACCAGATAGATCCCTGCCACTGGGGCTTGTAGGCTGCAGGCGAAGAAGGTCTAGCCCCACTCAGCCTAGGGTGGAGTGATGACAGGACCCAGGCTCAGGGTGGCAACCCTATGTGTTAGAGAGTAGAACTGAAGGAGTGAATTCCTTGAGAAATTGTTAACAACCCCCTACATGACCTTTACATTCTCCCACAGCAGGGCTTCAGTGAACCAATTCTTCAAGACCTGGCCTGCCTTGCTGAAGAGGCCAAAGGGGTTCCGCTGCCTTCCTAGAAATCAACCTTTAAGCAAAAATCCTTGAAGGGTATGGAGTAGCCATTGTCAGCACTTAGAATGCCAAATGGTTGCAGGGCATGAAAATTAGAACAAAGAACAGAGAGGCTGAATTAAAGAAGTCGGACAATTTGGACAAGTCTGTGGAGAAGTTAGCTGACCGACTTGAGAGCTGATAAAAAAACAAGGTATTTGTGACTGAAAATGTGAGACCTCTACAACTCACAAAATTACTAGTTTCTAAACTGGAGCCAATATTTTGATAAAATGATGTCAGGACATTCTATAAACATCAAATACTCCCTAACAGACAAACAATAAATCCAGACAAACTACCCTATGTCATTACTTTTCACCTCAGTTCGGAGAAATCCCTGGGATGGGAGATTAAGCACTTGAGCCACTGAATGGAATCACCATACCACAAAAGGTTGAAGAGAAGTACAACCACCCAGCCAACCTACTTCATGTTCTAGCCACCCTCAAGGGGGTTCTTACCAGGGTTCCATCTGTCAGAGTGCAGCCAGAAAAGCGTTTTGCAAGAAAGCCCTCAAAGTTAGTTGTTCTCTGAATAGCAAAAAGAAGCAATTTCACTTCAATTTCTTTAGCTCTGGTACGCATAATCTTGGCAAGTTCTGTCCTTCAAAACAAAGAGGTAAGAATATTGTCACACAACCTATTATTCATTCAAGACAAAAAAAACAAAACGACTTTAGCTTATATTCAGAAAAAAAAATGTGTATGGTCATTTCAAACCCTGAGGTCTGTTACCAACTTAGTCTAATGTCTGGGGAATAGAAATATATATTCCAAATAACAATATTAAGGAAGAATTATCCACCAGTCAAAAAAATCAAGGATTATGAACATTAGTTTACATGATTACAACTATTTTTAGACTGTTAAACCTTTCAGTAATATGTTAATGTATACGAAACACTTAGTGCTTTACAAAATGCATGTATTCTATATTATTTCACAAGTCATTAATCACTGAATTACAAAGCCCGCCATCTTTCAGAGAGCTCAGTAACCGTCTCTTCAACCAGAATAGAAGCACTGAAAATACACGAGAGGCCAGAATCCCCACGTGAAAAGTGACATGCATATGTGTGCGGGGGGGTCCTGCCTGGGAAGCTTCTGTGCAGTTAATTCACTTGAGTGTTCTGTTTCAGAATGTAAGTTCTTAGGGGGCAGGCACATGTGAGTTCTGAATAAGTACAGAGCTATCATCATCTTCTCACACAAATAAATGACAAAGGCAAACAAAGAGCCTCTGCCTTTATTTGAGAATTATGTATCTATGGGATTCTGGCCAAAATTCTAACAATAAAAGCTTGGCACAACACTGCCATTAGCTGAGACACAATAGCAGGTACTGACACTTACGGGGACTTGTTGGCTTTAGAACACTTCCAGTCTCCCACAGGCTTCCCTATTCACAGGGTTAGTTTGCAAGTTTGCTGGACTGTAGGCTAAACAGAATGAGTTGACAATTTCTCAAGGAATTCACTCTTTCTTTGCTAATCAAAACTTAGAACGTGACAACCACAGCTGACTTGAATCAATACTAAAAGGTTACCTATTATTGGAAACCAGACTTACTGGACACATCGAGGCTGGAGGGACCCCCAAATCTATTGCCTGGAAACAATTTTGAACCCTGAGTTGAAACTTTCCCCATGAAGTCATCTTTAAACTAAACAACAACTTATTTAGCTCAATAAATCCTATCTGTCTTGAGCATGGTGCCCTACTGAAGACTTACTTATATGAGACTGAAATGGCAACAGTAACGCTAAAGCACAGATGAGAACTTTAAGGGGCAGAGAGTATCAATTATTGGTGGTGAAACAACAGGGCAGAGACAGTGAGAATGGTGACACATGTGTCAATGTAACCAGTGCCACTGAACTGTACACGCAGAAATGTTTGAATAAGTGTATGTTTTGTTGTGTATATTTTCACCAAAAAAAAAAAAAAAAAGGTTATCTAAATCTACGGTAGCTGATGTGTTTCTTAACCAGTATCCCCTACGACATGTTTTCCTCCAAATGTATTTAAAGAATGCAACTTGACTGTATTCTCTATGACCTTCAGAAAGACGGCTGTCATGAATCATGCAAAGGTGACTGGTTGAGTTATGCTTGGATATGGGACTTTTTGGTTCTGTGTTTAACCTAGAGTTAGATGACTTATATATTTCCTGAGCATCTACTGTATCATTAAAGTAGGTACTACCTCTGTCCCTATGGAACTACCTAAATAGTCAGAAAAGTAAAATGATGATGGATATATGCATTGCACACTGATATATGTAACACAGATGTAGGGGAAAAGGGGAGGTGCTGTATCACTGTAGGCAGATCTAGTTGCTCAGTCCTGAGCTGATGAAGTAGGGAAGGCAGGCTGTTTGAAGCAAGGGCTACACCAAAGGAAAGTCCTGAGGGGAGCAAAGGGTGAGACTATAGTTGGAAATGAGGGTGGTGGCATCAGGAAGTTGCACTCAATCCACAGGACCATATGGAAACAACAGAGACCTAGGAATTGGTTTTTAAAATTAAATTAACCCCAGAACCAGTAAAGAGTTGGAATCTACCTTGTGACATGGCAAAATTCTACTGCAATCCTCTCTGACATGTACCACTCGCGTGGAAACATGCGGCCGTATTTCTCCTCATAGTCCACAAGCTGGCGTTTTATCCAGGCATAGCGTCTGTCGATTTTGTCCAACCAGGCAACCTTATTAAGACAGGGAACAAAAACCACCCCAGTGCTTAGAAGTAGTACTGACAGTTTAAGGAAGCAAGCAAAAACAAAGAACCAAAAGACAACCAACCTCTCTATTTCTTACTGTTTTCACAAGTCTGATTCAGAGGCTATGAGCCTGGGGTACCTGCGTGGGCGTCAGGGGTCTGTCAATTTCCTGAAGCTGCACGCAAAAGTTTTATGTACGGGTGCATTTTTCTGGGGAGAAGATCTGTAGTTTTCATTAATTTCTCTAAACGGCCAGTGACCCCAAAATGGTTAAGAACCAGTGAACTGTGGTCAGCTCCTAGGATTTAGGGTTCAATAATCAACACTATAAGATAGTAATACTGCTAAAGTAGAAATCAGTAGTATTAAAAGCATTAATTGTGCAGAAAAATTCAAATGGAATAGCTGATCTCATTTGGTTAATACTTACATCTTGGTTTTCTTGAAAAAGTACTAGATACTCCGACAAATGCTGCTTAATAAACTTTTTGATGATTTCCTGTTTGATTCTGGGGTCCAAAATATTAGCAATCAGACATGCATCTCTTAGGACATTGCTGGGTCCTCCAGGCCTCTGGTAAAACAAACAACACGCACCAGTTCCAAAGCCAGAAACAACCTTTAAATCTCACGGCCTCTGACAGCTGCTTCTTCTTGTTTCTCTCTTTTTGTTATTACTACTCCCACTCCCTTGACACTCATCTTTCTACTGTGCATGGATATTTCTGTTACTTGTTCCTACATGAAAGAATCATTAAACCAGTCTCACAGTAGCCAACACGAAAGCTACTCTGAATCAGCGATGAGACATTTTGGAAAGTGGAGCCAGCAAAGATGATAGGAAATTCTACTTTCTGAATACCAAAACCAAAAGCACCCTGTTGAAGGGCTCTGAAAGTCAGAATGACAGCAGTCTCACTCCGCATGTGCTGGTTTCCTCTGATTCCAACCTCTAAGATTCCTGTCCTTACTTTGACATCTGTGTCAGTGTGGCGACCTTTAAAACTGAAAACCAGGTTCCAAACCACCAGGCTTGTTTCACTGATAATCACCCAGATAGGCAGCCAAAGGTAAAACATTATGGTATTGGCCTCTTGACATGAAAAGAACAGCAGAAGGCATCATGGGGCTATACTGATACATCACAGCGGGAAGCTCTTTGTTTTTACAGAAAGCAATCCAATCTTGCCACACCCTCTTTATGGTAAATCGCTGAATGAACATGGTTGGCTGAGCGGACTATAGCAAAAAGAGCACTTGGAATCTACTCTTGGCTTGCCTAAATAGCTATGTAGCTTTCGTGGAGTTACTCAGGCACATCTGAAAAACAATGGACTTTAACTAGGTGATGAATAAGATTCTTCCAAGTCTTTATGATTGTTTTGGTCAATTCTGTCCAATTCTATTCATCTCAACTGAAGTTCAAGGGTTACATAAGTGTTACCTATGTTGCCTGAGACCTAAACTGTTAAAAATGTTGACTTGCTGCACACTGAGTGGCAGCTATGCTGTTGGTTGAGCACTAAGTGCTCCGCTCTTGCTACTGGAAGAAAGCACTTGATAGGCTACAGCAGAAGTCAAAGCTATGGGTTCAGATCTTTTCATTTAAAAAGGACTTACTAGGTTACCTTGTATAATTTTGTTCTTAATATCTTGATCTCCTTTTGCAAAACAGGAACAGTAATGTAAGGCCTTTTGAGAAAAGTTAATTACTTTTAAATAGAAAACAAAAGAAAACTCTTAAAAAAATACTAAGTCACAAAGCCAGAGAAAAGTAAGGGAAGTTGTTCAAGAAAACCACTTTAACTTCATCTGGCTGGTGGAATCTGGGAAAAAGATATGAAGTAGGTCATGGTTAGTTTCTTCTAAATAATAAAGCTGGTTTCGTCCACATCTTTCTGAAACTTCTTGAAACTGGAATAGGGCAGCAGAGTAAAGCAGATCTGGGCTAAAACGAGTCTAGTGCTTAAGATTTGTGAATACCCTTACAATCTCTTTTTACCTCTCTGCCCTTCATTTTCCTTATGTGGAACATAGAAATAATGGTTTTCCAACAGCCAATCCTAGTGGTTCTATCAAATGAACAGAAAATACGAAGTCCTCAAAAAAAGATGCTTTTCAGATAAAATGTCTGATTACTAGAAGACCACCACAACACATATGAAGATGTTAAAATCAGGAGCAGGCTTCCTATAGAAAATGATCTACAAAAGCAGGGGCGGCCACTCCCACCTACTTCCTAAGTTTCTTTCATGGCGCACAAAGAGAAATGATTAGGATATTTCCAGTTATTGAATTATAGACCAGGTCCAGGAAACCTTCCTTGGCTTCATAAATGAACCTATCTCCCCACCTCCACCCACCAACTGCAGTGATGAGGGCTGCCTGCCCATGTGTGCTTCCCTTCATTTCTGCCTTCAACAATTCTTTCTCTTGAAATAGCTCAAATAAGAGAAAAAAGGCTTCTGCAGGGTCTTCCCTTCCCCGACACATGCAAAGTATTAAGATTACATCTGCTACAGTTTGAAGGCTAGAGCGAAAAGCAGTTCCCCAAGTAATGACAGCCAAGTGAGGGAAAGCTTGTTACATGAGAAGTGTAACCAATAGCTCACAGGAGAAATACTGCGGGCTTCATAGACACAACACAAACAGCTACGCTACCAAAGACAGCTAAAGGGCGATGACTCCAAAGAACAGGCTTCTGATTATTAAAAGTGAGGCTCCTAACTGTGTCACTCTGAGAGTTACATAAGCTGGGGGATGCGCTTCCCAGTTGTCTTCCCACTGAACTGAGACCAATAAGTTATGTAACAATCCTAAAAAATATTGCAGCTTGAAGATTACTTTTATTTTATTTTTTTTTTAACACAGCCATGAGGAAAAAGGAATTTACAGGGCAGACAAGATACGAGGTTTGATATACGTTAAACCAAAACAAAGCCTCACTTTCTGATGCTCAAAGAACACAGAAGAAAAACTGACACTGGTTCTGGGATATTTAAAATCAAGATGGTCTCATTACCCTGAACCTTGAGCAAACAGACTTGCGGCAGCCAGCAAGCACTTTGGAATGATAAATGAATAGTCACTCTAGTGGGTATGAATCCACCAAGAATGGTAGTAGTATCTAAAGACTGGAGGGAAAACACACAACAATACCTTGGTGCCCTGGGAAGGAAATGCTTCTTCAAAATCTGCCAGAATTTGCTGTCCTAACTCAGTCTGGGCAGCCTTCACTCTGTGAGGAAAAGAGAACATATCATGGCCTTAAATGAGTTTCAAATATCCGTAAGTAACTGTGCACAATTCATAGGTGTCAGGGCTGTTGAAGTCTTTAGACATCATCCAGGAAGGCAGAGTGTATCTAGAGAAGAGAGGTCACATGCTAGCTAGCAGCAGGTTGACGACAGGACCCAGGTACCTGATTTACCCTCAGGATGGATATTCTATCCCTGAAATTCTTCTAGGCTAGCCCTCCCCTGTTGTGAGGTAGTACACATTAATCTTTATATAAAATTTAATTAGAAGGTAGTTATGCAGTGGAGAAATGCTGTATTACAACACCCAAATAAAATACACATACATTTGGGATTACTGGTTTAACTGCTCACCCACTCCTTGGAGTACAGAATGAGAAGAGGGCTCCATATTGTTTCAGGTTTTTCTTTTTTCAATTCAGAAACCAACATCAGGATCATAGTTTTAACAAATGAACGAAAAGAATGTTTTCCAAAGTAAAAAGAAAAAGATCCAATTGAGAAAATGAACTGCTAATTTAGAGTGAAGGCCACTGAAGAGAGTGAATCTGAAGTTCACTCAGAAGATGGTGAAGCTGAAGACTGAGTTACGATGAAAACTAGTTAGAGTGGACCCACTGCGGTAGAGTCAACTCCAACTCACAGTGACCCTAAAGGACAGAGGAGAACTGCCCCACAGGGTTTCCAAGGAGCGGCTGGTGGATTCGAACTGCTGACCTTCTGATTAGCTGCCAGGTTCTTAACCACTGTGCCACCAGGGCTCCAGTTAGAGAGGGGAGGCCAGAATTTAACACCATGGTTTGGGTGTACACTAGGAGCTCAAGAAATGTCTGTCGGCTTGAGTGTAAGAGGAGAAACTGCTTGTTAGCCCCCTGCAACCAATCACACCCTCCACTGGCTGCTGGTGTCTGTAGGTGCCTCGTACACAGCCAGCCTCACAGAGCTAGAATGCGGCTCTGAGGCCTTGTTTGGACTGCCCTGAGTCTGAGGCAAATACTTCATCTTTGCTTAAAGCACCATAAAATAGTGTGCTTCCTTTCTTGGTCTCCACCCTGTTACTTTGGAATTAACTTTACAAAGTTTCTAGAAATAGCAAACAGCTCAAAACCACAATTTCTTTGGCTACAAGGCAGTGCCTGGCAACCTGCTGGGATTTTTAAAATGAGGGGATAGGCAGGACCCGAAACAGTCTGTTTTTTCTGTGGTAAAGTTCTAACTATGCCTTATTCTAAATATTCTCCAGGGTTTTTCCACTATTTTCCAAACTTTTTAGACCACTCCCATAAGTGGGTTTGCAGCCACTAATCATATCTTCTTTAGTTAGTTAAGGAGGCCAGAAATGACTGAGATAAGACCATGACTGGATTAGCCCCCAGCTCTAGAGTTACCCAACAGGCAGAGGGAAACATTCTTCGAGTGTGAACTCTGACAGAAGAGAAAAGAGTATGCTTTTGTAAAACTGTACCTCATAGCATCTTGTGACTCCCACATAACACACCAGGCAAACAGATCCCCTTGGTGCCAAGTCACAAGACAGAGCTTCCAGAGGCTCAGATCCCTCTGTTCCTACCCTCCTCTTAGAAGCACACAGGAAGCACCAGTTCCCTCCTAAGCCACAAGGACAATTCCTTTCAGGGAAACCCCACTCCTGGCCAGCAGCACTCAAATGATTCTATTCTCAGGGCTCCTGAGCATCTCAGTGATACTGATGGCCCCAGCTCTGCCTCTGTCACCCACCCGCCCTGACCACTCCCTAATTCCATATTCTTGCTGGCTCTGAAACTGAGGTGGCTGAAAAGACCACCAGAGCCTATGACGGGGATTGATACTTCCAGAGTACAAACGAGACAGTGACATACCAGACTCTGATTTGTAGACCCCTTGCCGTGTTCTTTAATCCATTTTCAAAGCCACCTATTGAGATATTCCAGATTTAGTTGTGCCACTATTGAGCCACATGTAAACGTAAGGCAGGCACTTTCCCTACACGGGCTTCTGTCTTCCTACTTGTGAAGTAAGAGAGTGAGGATAGAGGCTTATACGAGATGACGTTCAGTGTCCTCGCCAGTGCTGATTACTCTGCAACATGCATCTCACAGCACTAGCTGGCAGCAGCATCCATCTTTACTGGAGGCTACAAGTCTGATGGCTAATTAATGTTGGAGCCGAAGAATAAGCTTCTGTCCATAAATGCTTCCAAGCTTAGTTTCTGAAGTGTATTATCAGTGACTCATGAAACAGCAACTACTTCCCTTATAGACATTACTGACAGTATCTATAAACCCAAATCATGATTCCATGCATTTTCAGGGTAAGGTGTGAACAGCAGACTTTACAATCAATTGCCTAAATAGGATGTTAGAAAGAAGCACATCTTTGGCCTTGCTCCTTTTAAATTCTTTCCTTTTCTAACAATGAAATGTGTAAAGAGAGATCAACTGAGACTTTATCAGTAGAGCATATACATGAGCTGAACCACCAAGATCTCCTAGTCATTCTTATGAAAATCAGTCTATAACAAATAAAGAATAAAAAAATAAAAACTAAACCCATTGCTGTCAAGTCGATTCGGACTCATGGCGACCCCATGTGTTACAGAGTAGAACTGTTCCATAGGATTTCCTTGGCTGTAATCTTAATGGAAGCAGAACGCAAGGCCTTTTTTCCACGCTACTGCTTGGTGGGTTCAAACCACCAAACTTTAGGTTAATAAACGAGCACAAACCATTTGTGCCACGCAGGGACCTAAATAGAGAATAGGGTAAGTAAAAATTCCTCCTGGCATCTAGGTAAGTCTGGCCTGGTTGGGTGGTGGCAACTCAATATTGGTCGCTCTTTAAAAAGGTAAGACTCACTGTGCTACACAGAAAGGAAGGTCAACCATGTAGCTTCTGGCATCCTCCATGGATGCTCAGCCTTGTGGCCTAGGGTTGTCCAAAGGTGCCCTTTCCTAAGTGTGTTATCAGTTTTCGTAAAAGATGGCAGCAGAGGGGCAGGAAATTATGAAAATTATTTAGACATCTATGGATAAAGTAACCCTAACACTTCCATTACCTTGTGAATGACAGTCACAAAGGAAACCGCCTCAACAGTTCACAAACGCGTGAGGTCTGTACTGGACCAAATGCTTGGATTAGTCAGATGCTACATTTCCAAACAGGCAGGCTGTCTAAAGAATCTTAACCTAGAATCTTAGTGTGACTCAGTCGAATGCTTTTGAGATCATCAAGTACAATCCATTTACTTTAGAAACTGAGAAGTAGACTCAGAAAAAATTTGTCAAAGCCATACAGCGGTCAGGTCTCTCCACTCCTTAGCTTAGTTCCTTTTCCCTACACCATGCCAACTGCTCAACCTGCTAAGCATCTCCCAAGTATAAGAGATTAGAAATAGCCCTGAAAAATAATATTTTAGTTCAAGGGTTTCACGGTTTTGAGGAGAATTCAGGAATTCTTCCATTCTTCCTTGGGGAATGTTGACTAATTACTGGAAACATTTGCTTTCATGGATATGCTCAAGCCAGAAGGCTTTTAAAAATGTAAAGATGATATTAAAGAGAGAGAGGAAAAAAAAATCCTTCCTTCAATGCTACATTAAACATTTATGCACTTTCCAGAAGGGTAGTTGAAAGAAACGGCTACACTCGAATCAAAGCCCATGAATTTCAAATTTCAAATGTACAGGCAAAGATTTTAGAAAATAACTTTTGTTATGATTTCCAAAATTTATAGACAATAAGCTATTAACGTAGAGAAACTAGAGCAATGCATAGGGCGTAACTCTCCTGCCTTCTCCCCTCCCCCCAAGCAAACAGCTATTTCTATCACTTCCAGATGGTTCTCCCATCGCTATGTAAACATAAGGGAGGAAAATTCACCAGAAATGATGCTAAAAATAAGAAGTCTGGACTCTCCTCAAACTTTTAGTACCTCTTGAAAAACAATCGTAGTCAAGCACTGAAAGTAAGGCTTTTCTTCTTGTGTTCTTTTTAGTGTTTCTTAATAGCACATCTCCTATAGTAACCTACACAACATTTTTGCAAATAGAGGTTATGAAGCAAACGAAAAGTAAATTCTCCTGTGTTTGCAGCAATCCTACATAATAATGAATGTTGAAGCAATGAAATACACTGGTAGAGTGCTAGATTTTCTCTTTCTAAGGGGAATGTCATTACAACAGTAAGTTCCTTCGAACTTACAAAACTATCTTTTACTTTGAAAAAATGTTAAAAGTGAAGAGCCCTCATGGAGGGCACTGTCTTCTTCTCTGCCACTCAATTGCTTTCTGTAAATCAAATTCAGTTCTGCCATATTCCTGCCATCAACAATGCCCATCTCACTCACCCAACTGGTTACCAAGTCTCAAACCCACCTCATATCTACTCCTGGGCCTCATGGTCACTGCGTTGGTAAGGTCCTTATCATTTCTAGTCTAGACCATAGTCTTACTCTATAGCGTCCTGTATCTATAATCCACCAGTCTTTTACAAGACACAAATCAGATCATGCCCCTCTCGGCTTAAATGTTCCATTGCGCACAAAATAAAGACTAAATTCTCAAGCATGGCATATAAAATGACCCCTCCACCTCCCAAAGTGGTCTGATGTTTCCTCTATCTTCTTGTCTGGGTGGTAAGCTCTAACTTATCCTTTTAAGATTCAAATTAAAACAGAATTCTTCTATGACCTCTATCCTCAGCCCCTGAAGGTGGATCAATTCCTCTTCTGAGGTCTTGCTACACCTTGTACAGTACAGTTTTGCTGCATTTGTGGTTTACTGAATTTTTCATTAGTGTCTCTCTTCTCCACGCAAAAATGGTGAACTCCTTGAGGACAGAGTGTGTATGTTTCTTATCTCTGAGCCTTCAGTACCCCAGCACAGGGCCTAGGATATAGAATAAAGGAGAGAATAAGTGGATAGGAAAAACAGAGCAACTATGGATTGTCATGACTGTAGGGGGAAGTGGCACTGCTTTCTTTTC